GAGTGATTTTTCTATTCCATCAGGAAGGTACGGATCGTAGAATGTAACATTAAAACCAAAAGCCTTTGCACGCAGAGCAACGCCAGAACCGATCCTACCTAATCCTACAATTCCAAGTGTATCGCCACGTATCCTAGCACATCCTTGGGCTGCTTCTCTCACCTAGTAAAGTAAAACTAATAATTGTAATACACTTTTGTCCCGTTCAATGAAATTATTCAATTTTGTTTCTACTGTCAAACCTGTTCTGGTCCTGTGAATTTTTTGCCTTCGCGAACCATATTTGCCAGCCAATATGTGCGTCTATAAAGATTTAAAATGAGGCAAAGAGTGGTGTCCGCTACTTCTTCGACTCCATAGCCAGGCACATTGCACACTGCGATGCCAAGCTCACCAGCTGCTTTGACATCAATGTTGTCAACTCCGGAACCAATTCTCACAATGATTCTAAGAGTTTTAAACTTTTCAAGGTCTTCCTTGGTCAGAATAATAGTATGCCACATAAGAGCACCAACTGCCTCGTTCAATACCTAAAAACAAAAATTAAAAAAAAAAAAAAAAAACAATAAAAAAAAAAACAGCATACAATAGATCGTCAAATGGATATCAACGAAAAGCTAGGCTTTGGTTGTACGATATAGCTAAAGATTGGATTATTTATTGACCTTTTCGTGTATTTCTGACGTAGACTGTGCATCACAAAAGGCCACAGTCGCAACGTCTTTAAGTATTGGCATTTCTATAGAACAATCGCGTCCATCCAGCAATGCCACCAACGGTCTTGTTTGAATGGGCCCATTGGTAATTGGGCCCCTTAGATTCTCCATTCGTGGGCGTTTGGGCATCATCTTCCGTTTGTCCATCGGTCAGATAACGCCCCCTAATATATAATTTTCACCTCTTCTTACGCAAAACAACACAGTACACAATTCAATTGTTGTATAAACACTATCGGAGCTTATCACTAAGTCTCTTATCCTGCGGCAAATCCTTAGAACTCCGACACCGTTTTGTCACACCGACTTTTGCGGCGATACTAGCTTGTGGTCGGTTTTAGGGCAGGAACCGCCGAACCTCCAATACATCACGACTCTTTGAACACTGCCACCTGTAAAGCAAAGTCACAACATAGTATTATCATCAATGGCAAATGGATAAGGCCCAAATCGCGCCTTTCGCAAAATTAGAGGTTAGAGTCGCACAACTCCAAAGTACACTAATATGCACGAAGCGTAGCCCCTCCTCGAAACCGCTTGCGGCTTACACAACAGAATCGTCAAACGGCTCGCGACCCGTACGCATAAACGCAAAAATTTCCCCTTTGTGTTGAAAGATCGTTCGCAAGTCGGCGGCGTTGCCTTTCTCTGTCTATGCCTATTCCGGCTAGGCAAGGAGAAGAGCAGCAGCCCGCGTGTGACTTAGCGATAAAAAGGCGAGGCGAGGAGGAAGCACGCGCGCGCGGTCGCAGTAGCGTCGTCTTGCACGAGAACGCACCATAGCACAATTTACACCACGAGATTGACGACGACTTTTTGATGTACCTAAACGCAAAGAGAAGCGCAGCACGTAGCCGGCGAAAAAAAAAATGAGAGGATCTTGAGTTCCTCGAGGCTGGCTAAAGAGGATGATGGATAGATGAATATGTGTGTGTGTGTGTATATATATATATATATATATATATATATATATAATACAGAGAGACTGAGAGAGAGTGTGTGTGTGTGTGTGTGTATGTGAGTGAGACAGATATATAGTGATTGAGTGAGGGGTGGGTGGGCGGGAGGGAGGGGAAGAGGAGAAAGAGGGAGAGAAGAGCACAACTCGGCGATGACTCGAGTGGATTACTACTGTGCGCCGCTGGCTGCCTTGTCGCGGCGTCGTCCTTCTTTTTCTCTCTTTGCAAGGGCTTTTCGCTAGAGTACGCGAAATCACGGTGCCGCTGGCGTTTCCAGAGAAAGCCGCTTCATCAGTCGCTCTCCTCCTTTACCGAACAATCCGTCCCATTCGCTTACACGTTACTTCCCCCTCTCGCTTCCTATCTCACTCACTCACTCACAAACTACTTCTCTCCCTATCTCTCTCACTCGCGCTCTCTCTCTCTCTCTCTCTCTCTCTCTCTCTCTCTCATCTCTCCAATACGGAGACGCGCGCTGCAGCAACACTGCACCTACCGAAAAGGACGCTCGGTCTTCCTGATGCTCGCCGCTTGATAATATACGGGTACTGGGTCGAGCGTGCGAGCCGGCGGCTGCACAGCGCGGCTTCGGCGACGTACCGACTGCACTACTTAAGACGGGACGCGCGGTCGAGGGCCGCCGAGTTTATAGGTTAAACCTCGAGCCTCTGAGAGGGAGGGCGCGCACGACAGAGGGAGAGAGCGACATACGAAGTATGTGTGCTCGTGTACGTTGTGCGTGCCGGCAGACGAGGTACACGCAACGTATACGCGCGTCTTGAGAAAACTTTTCCGTCTCACTTGCGACACATGCGCAGGTACGCAGAATCTGACCTAACCGTACACAGCTCACCTGCGCGTGTCGTAGCAGCGTCGCCGGCGCCCCCGAAATCTCTCTCCGCACTCAGTGTCGAGAGAGATGTTCGCTGCAGGCTGCTGCTCTCAACGCACCTAACGCACAAATGGATAGCCGGAACGTGTGATATTCCCTCCCTCCTTCCCTCTAGCTCGCTCGCTCGCTCACTCTCTTTCTCTTACTTGCTCTCTCACAATACATCTATCTTTCTTTCACTCGTGCGCTCCCTGGTTCGCTCACTTTCTCTCTCTCGCTCTCTTTACATTTGCGACTACGACGGCTGGGGCTAACGTTTTCACGATGGATAATAAAGCGGCTGCCGCGCGTTGGTCACTGGGTCGACGTTTTCGGATCATTTTCGAACTAATTGTTCGCCGATGCTGCTGCTGCTGCTGCTGTGGCATTCTCGTTCAATATCTTTGCCGCACGCGTTCACTCTCTTTCTCTTAAAACAGCCGACACATCTCGCTCATCATTTCACTCGTACGTTGATGATAGCAATTTCTCTTTCCATCTCTGCATGCATGTTTGCTAGCTAGCTAGTTAGCTTGCTTGCTTGCTTGCTTGCATGTTGCATGCGTGCGTGCGTGCGTGCGCGCGTGCTTACGTACGAGAGAGAGAGAGAGAGAGAGAGAGAGAGAGATCCAGTGAGAAAGCGAAAGAAACGGCGTCGGATTTCGGGATTCCCGCTCATGAATGATAACGATTTATCAATGAGAGCGATAAATCAAATAAAGGGCAAAAAAAATTCAACAGAAAGAGTCGTTGCCGTTGTCATCAATATCGTCGTTAGCACGGGTAGTAGGGGGGAAGAAGAGAACGAAGGGCGAGATGACCCGAGCGCATTCACTCCAAACATAGTTTCGTTCGACATATTGTTATTCCGTAATATGCGGGAAAGTGCTGAAGCAGCCGCTCGAGTCGAGTAAAAAGATATATATATATATATATATATATATATATAGAGAGAGAGAGAGAGAGAGAGAGTGTGAGAATCGAGAAAGTCAAGAACCAAGACAAGAGACAACGATATGTGGCGCCCTCCAATGCGTAGAAGCTTCTTCCAATAATTGCAGGAGGGAGGACAAGTCGAATGGTCGCGGTTACGGCGGGAGGCACGGTAAAGGGGGAGGGGGGAGGGGAAGGCGGGACTAGCCGTCGGAGCGCAGGAGAGACATTTGACCGACGATTTCGCTTCATGCTTCGTACATTACGCATTTAAGCGGAGTGTCGGCAGCTATTTGAAGCGTTCTCGGCGAATGGTGAGGCGAGCCTAAAGTGGCGAGAGGCGCGGGCGCCGAGTCGAGCGACCGGGAGGGGGAAGAGTTCCGAACTAAAAGAAAAAAGCATAATTCTCCGCGCGGTACAAAAGGGCTAAGATCGCATCGGATGGATTCAGAAATATGTATATACGGCGCCATCGTTCGCTGACCCTCCTCCGCCCGCCGCCGTCGTCCACCCAACCGTCACCAGGCACCCGCCTTTCCCGGAGACCTACACACGTAATCGGAAATATGGCCTGCGGAGGCCATAAAACGGGAGATCGTCGTTGCTGGGCTCAGCGGGACCCGTGGATGCGATACTAACGCATAGTGCAAACCCAAGCACTTTGCGGGAGTGTGCGAGCGACAGGGCGATGGGACGGAGTGGAGTGAAAGAGAGAGAGAATGGATCTTGACTTTGACTTGGGCACATGTTGTGCCAACTCAGCGGATATATCCAAGCGAACTGTGATGCTCAGTCAAAGGGAAAAGGAGTTACAAGGCACTCGGGTCGCTCGCGCGCCTACCTTCTGCTCTCCACGATTTTTTCATTCGCTGAACATCAATTGGCGCCTCCTTATTTTCTTGCTTTGATGCGCGTGTTTTTTGCACTGACTGCGTTCTGGGACGATTGAACGAAGACTGGGGCAAAGGGCACAAAGTTGCAGAAAAACCGGAAGGAAGTGAAAAAGGGCCGTGGGGTCAAGTGGCGCGCGCGCGGGCCAGTGAAAATCGAAAGCGCGCCGCTTGAATTCAAGCCTTAACGTAATCTCGTACATAGAAAGCGAGACTTTAGCGGGCCGCGCTGAAGTGATGGCTGTTGCGGGGGCGGAGAGGGGTGGAGGCTATAAGAGGTGGAGAGAGAGAGAGAGAGAGAGGGGGGGCGTGAAGGGGCGAGGCAGGGACGGACGGGATGCTACGAGGGCGAAGTTATCCAATTATTGTCTAACCCTGGGAGCAACTGTACTCCGGTGTTGGGGAGTGGGGCGGTACGGACATGGAGAAGAAGGCGGAGGCGGTGAAGAAAAGCGACGGCGGTGAGCCTCACCTTGCACCGCGCGCGCGCCTCTTCAATCGAGCCGTGATAAAGTAAACTTTCTTTCAAAACTCTGCAACACATGGACGTGGAGCTCGTTTCTCTTTCCTTTTTCTCTTTATTATACTGCTGACGCGTCTTGCCGCAACGGTTCTTCTCTAATTCGTATAAACGCCCGCTGCTGTCTCTCTCTCTCTCTCTCTCTCTCTCTCTCTCGAACCAATTTACTTTTTTTTTTGCAACCACTACTACGGAGCTCATTATACCAACGGTTATAAAGTTTTTTAATTTATTAAGTATGCGCCGTTCGCGGTGAGTTATCGCTATCCGTTCCCGTGGAAAATGAGGACGCACGTAAGGATTCGGTCTTAGCATCAATTTTTCATTTACCAGGTACCGTAATATTCATAATACGCCTTTAAAACATTATCGACTGTGGCTTGAAATTCTACGAATTAACACGCAACCTCGACGCACTCGCCAACAAATTGCGACGCCGTGACGAAACAATAGATCAATAAGGTTTATTTGATTTCAGAAGGAAAAGGAGAGAAAAAATATATATATATGCATGTATATATGACAGACGTACTCGATCACTCGCACGCAAGTGAACGTAAGTACTTATGCATAATTTAGATTGCTTGTAATTCGTCGATTATGCGGTCTAACCTTGGAAAAAAAAAACTAATCCATCATAATTAATTAATTAATTAAAAAAAAAAAAAAAAAAAAAAAAAAAAGTGTTACACATTTGTCATATTCACTTTATGTACTATTACTCATTCGCTAATGGCTCTTACCCATTCGCAATTACGTCGCTATGATGCTACATTTAAAACTTTTACGACGAATTGATATAATGATCGTGATTTTCGGACTTAAATTGTGCCCGAGTTTTATTGCTAACCATAGTTAAGCGAGAAAAGTTGTGTATAAGTTTCTAGTTTACGTAACTTAAACGTGAAAGAGAAAAAATTATATTTTAAAAACTTTTCGAGTACTGCCTACCTTTTGCAAATATTTGAACTTCACATTACAATATAAGAAAATTCTCGTAACCCTAAAGTTTATGAAAAAAAGTACAACATTGTGAAAAGAATTTCCTTAAATAATTTTTCTATGCATTCCACTGTTGCAAGTTTCAAACTTAAAGTTAAAACACTTCGGTTAATCAGCTTTAGCGGAGCACGACATCAAAACAGGGCACGTTACACTTTTCAAATCAACCATTGTATTATTTCCTAAAGTTTTCAAAGTATGATTTCACTATGACGGAAATATATTTTTAATATTATTTCTGAAGTCAAAAATAGAAAGCATCCGATAGATTAGAAAATTATTTCGACTCTTCGTATCATTATACATTTAATTTATTATATTATAATTTGATAAAAGCACGTGTGCTATTTAAGGGCAAATATTTTCATTTCACTTCCATTCCATCTACTAGACCAAACATATCGCTCGTAGAGTATCGTAGAGCTCCAGACTGATACTGATTGAATGATAAAATTCGATTGGAATCGAGAAATTATAATGAAAGCACGCGAGCTAAATGTAACGGAAAATCAGCATTCAACTTCCATCGATAAATTAGTGTCGAGAATCCTTAAAACTTAAATGAAAAACATTATTCTAAAGTAAGTATATAAAATGATCCGATAAATTATAATGATTAATGCCGTAGATTGTATTAAAAATAAAATTATGAACGCTCGAATAAGCGATTGAGAAAAATATTGCATTCTAGGAGCTGCTGCTACGAATTAATTTGTCGGTAAAATTGCAAGAGAAAAGTGTTTACATAATACGACAGAAATAACAATCAACAAACAGCTTAAGATCAAATTGATAAAGAAAAACGGATTAACATTTGTAAAACGAAACGAGCTAAAAATTAAATAAAACAAAAAATAGCCACAATAGCCAAAAACAACCACCACCACCACCACCACATTAATAATAATAATAATTGAAATTGATAGCTAAACTTTCACGGTTTTCAAGTGTGTCACGATCGTGTTTTTGAATTGTGCTACATTGAATTAATAAAGTGAATATTCGCGTAGTAACATAAGAGCCGGAATTCCAATAAACGCATGTTGACCAAAAATTCAAGGGGAAGAGAGAGCTCCTAAATATCTGGAATTCCACTTGATCTATAATTTCCGCGGGGTTAACAAAGAGTCCGCGATAATATTCGTCTCGTGCTTCCGGGCGGGAGCATTGCATCGCGAAAAATCGCTCCTTCCTCTCTGTCTCTCTTGCTCTCCCTTCTTCCTACTCCTCGCGGGAAGGCAATCGGGTTAATGCGAGAAGACCGGCACGCTTCCGCGAATGTACATGTAAATGTAAATGGTTTGTCGGGAGTTGGAGGGGAGCGCGACGCAGGCGTCGGCGACTACACGCGGGGGCAAAGGGAGGGAGGAGCCGAAAGTCGACGAACGCACGCTCAAAGTATGGAGAATCCAAAGTTTCGCTTTGGTAGAGCGAAGAGAACTTAACTGAGTTAACTTTGCTGCTGAAGCAAACTTTCTGCCAACTTTAAGTAGTCGCCTCCGTCTCGCTTCATACTTTCTCTCGCTCCCGCTCCTTCGCTTCTTAGTCTCATCCTCCGCGTGCCGCGAATCCTCTGCTTTCATCTCATTCTCGTTCGTCGTCTCATTCT